TGAGAGAATTTGACATCTAAACATCTAATATTTACCACGACCAAACATCAAATCACAGGTGTTGGCCGACTTTGTGGTAGAATGTACAGTGCCTACCTATGATGAACCACTCTCTTATTTTCCACGGTCACCTCAGTGGACACTATACGTAGATGGAGCATCTGGAAACTCAGGAGCTGGTGTAGGAATACTACTCATTTCCCCAAATAAAGACATTTTGGAGTACATATTTCGTTTGAAATTCCCAGCCACCAATAATGTTGCTGAATATGAAGCACTTGTCGCCGGATTAAAGCTAGCCATCAACTATGAAGTACGAAACACGATTATCTACACTGATTCTCAACTCATTGCATCTAAAGTAGAAGGAGAATTTGACGCTCATAACTCAAAACTTGTACAGTATCTCAGTCTGGTAAAAACACTTCTCGCCCAAATTGAAACATGCCAGCTCATTCATATACTTCGGGAGCATAACACCCGAGCTGATGCCCTTGGAGATCGCTATAAAAGAAGATATATTGAGGAGATACATTTTCCTAGCATCCATGGCCCATTGGAGATACTATCTATAGATGACCCAAGAGAGCTGTCTTGGATGGATCCCATCATCTCCTTCATCCGAGACGGGACACTGTCAAATGATGCTACTACATCAATTCGCATCCGACGCATGGCTGCCAACTTCATCCTTATAGAGGATGAACTGTACTAGAAGGCATTTGTAGGTCCATATCTCACGTATCTTCCTCCATTTGAAGCTGATTACGCTATTCAAGAAGTTCATTCCGGAATGTGTGGGGAGCATCTTGGTGGCAGAGCACTTGCTCTTAAAATAATGAGGTAATGCCTCTACTGGCCCACGATCAAGCAAGATGCATTAGAGTTTGTACAAAAATGCAAGAATTGTCAATTGCACTCCAATCTTACACATGCACCGCTAGTGGAATTCACAGCTTTTCTATGTCCTTGGCCTTTCTCCCAATGGGGGGTAGATATCATGGGGTCATTTCTGATAGCTACTGGACAACGGAAATTGATTATTTTAGCTGTCGACTACTTCACCAAATGGGTAGAAG